GGTATAGTATTTAAATATATGCCTGAGAAACACATAATATTGGCCCTTTAAAGCCATAAAGAAAGAAAGATATCCTTCCCTTTATCAACCTGTGACGGTTTCCAAGGTATCTCCTTTTATTTAATTTTTTTAGTTTACTTTTATTTTGTAGGGGTGCCAGCCAGGTATCCCTCCTGGCAATTTAGGATTTTAGAATTAACCTTGTATATATATATTTTTATACTACCCGACACACAAGGACCAGACACTMTATAATGCAGACCCTTAATGAATGACTACAGACAGATATATGTACATATACACACAATATTTCCTTTTTGTTTCCAAACCACAAAATCACTGAATAATAATAATAAAGAAAAAATCCACATGGAATTAGTTTTCAGGCTTGTATTATAAGTGAGAGAACAAAAAAAGTCCAATATTCTTCACAGTCGAGGGAGGAGAAAAAAAGAAGAAAAAAAAGAAGGGCACTCATTGACTTCCATACATGTCGCTCCACAGCAAGAGCTGGGAATAAAAAGAAAAAGAACGCATAAGGCCCTGTTTACATTTTACAATGCACATAATCACAACATTATTCACAACAACAAAAATAATAATAAATTGACTTACAGATGTTTGATGAAAAAAGAATCTCACAGAGGCAGGACCAGGATTCAGTTCAGTTAAGTCTCGTTATCTGGACCAGATAGATCTATGTAATTTTAAAGCAGATTTTGCTTCATTCAAAGTCGGCACAACAATATTTTTAGGTAAAATTTTAAGTTTGAATAATTCTTAAAACTTACGAGAGACTTGATTTCAATGATGTCACCGGCTTTCCGAACCTCCGTGTTAACACGTCAGCACAGCTGATACACAGAAGCGAACTTTTCTTTGTAGTTGAATATGGGGATCTCTAAACTACCCAACAAGGCAGAGGTGCTGAAAGCAAAATACGAGGGATGAAACAGCCTCGGATCAGCCCCAAATGGCTTTAATGTGGGAGTCTGACGGACTGACGGCGTCAGGTGTTACCATCCCCGGAGCTAGAGGAAGACTGCCATTCCACCTGTATGATAGAGAAACACCTTGGCTCTGATAACCAATGAGGTGAGTCTCTGAGAAGCACGGTGAAAACCAGGGCGTATCCCAAAATATGAGGGCAGGAGGGGCAGAGAGAGAAAGGAAACAGTGCAACCAGCAAAAAAAACGAGCGGGTTGTCACAAACCAAATCAGTTTTAGTACTGAATCAAAAGCAGTTCTGAAGTAGTTCTATCCTTAGATGTGAGGACATGTTTTAATTAAGGGGTGCTGTGACTAGGCCTAGGCCAAATACCGGTTTCACGGTATACCCCGATATGAAAAAGTCACAGTTTCAAAACCGCTAAAATTTTCCATCATGCCGGTCCTAAAGTATGAGCAATTTTTTTAAATATGTCATCAGAGAGAAAAGTGGAGGTCAAATCCCCCCAGTTCTTTCAATTGCAGAGTCACGACCCCTCCCCCCACACACCCTTGTAGCTGCCAGCTCTGCAGGTTGTATGATGGTTGTAGGAGGTGAGTTCCTGAACTATTTCCCCCGTCTATAAGAATAAACTCGGCTATATGAGTTACAAAAATGGACATCAAATGCTTGGAGGAAGAGGGCTGCTCTACATACAAAACATGCTTGTGCAGCAGCAGCCAGAGAAGGTAACATCTAACATGACAGCACGTCTGCAGGAGAAACACCTGAGTTTATACTACATTGACTTTGCGTGAATGTAAAGTTAATGTAAAGTAAATGTGTTACCTTTACTTATTTCAGTTTGACATAATTTTTTTAATTAAATCCATTATATCTTTTTTTGAGTGCAGTGGTCTTCCATTAATATTCAGTAACGTTTAGTGACAAAATATTTATTATCATTATTTTATCTTTTTAAAAGCATAAACTAAATATGCTGAGTCATGGAAAATACAACAAAACTCTATTGGGAAATTGTTTTGTGTTTGCTAAAATCGTGGAATAAACAATCTGTTGATTTTCAACAAACTGATCAAGTGACAACATCAGCATTTATCAATACCATTTATCAGCATCAATAAAGTCATGTAAAGGATTAAAGGATGAATAAATAACAAAAATTAATATTTTGCAAAAAGCACAAATTGAGCAGAAACAGCTATCAAATTTTTACAGAGTGCTTCAAAATACAGAAAGCAAATCTGAGCTAATACAAGCAGAGAGACGTTTAAAAAACAGCTGTAACGGTACAGTGCCAATAACAAAAGGTCTCCTTCAGTTGCTCATTGTTTAAATAAACCCTCGCACTTTGTCAAGTTATTTCAACATATAACAGAAAATTTGATGAGGAAATTCATTTTACTGATGACAATTTGTCAAATGTGGGAATTTCTCCTTATCTCGTATAAGCAGCTAAAGAGCAGAGAAGGCCTTGAAGCCTCTGGAGTACAACAGTAACACTGAGACCAAGCTCATTTTCTTCCTATCGAAGTGATAACTTTGTATCTAGCGAAACAACGAAAGGCCACAGTGAGACTCAGATGAACTGACTTTCACTGTCAGCCATCAATGACTTATATTCCTTCACTCTAAAAAACAGTGAATCTGTGCACGAAAAAACAAGGAATAAAAAAGGAAAACAAGATGAAAAAAACATTTTAACATCTATCCACCAAACCATACATTATCACTTTAATGAGTTCTAACATTTTTTGGATGCTTCTTGACAAAAAAATACAGATTTTAACAGTGAGCTCTGATTTATCTTTAAATTTACTTCACAAAGATATTTGTTGTGAAACGAATGCAAAGTGTTCTCCTAAATCGTCATGGATAAAAATGACTAAACTTAGTGTGTTACTCATAACAAGTAACAACTAAAAGATTTACAGACAGGTGGAAAAGAGTAAAGCTGCAGTGTTATATAATAATTATAGATTTGATGTTCTGTTAGTTACTTAGCACGTCACTGAACAATGTCTGAGATAGAGAGGCTTCATGTCAGACTTCAAGTCCTCGCTGGAGTTCTTTGAACAGCAACACAAACATCCTAATCTTCCTAAAGCCACCACAGAAACTCTGCTGACAAAGTTGGTCTCAAGTCAACCAAATGTTAAAAGCTCTGACAAAACACTGGTTTTACTCAGCCTGTTTACTGTACACAAGTTTTACATTTGCCAGTCATAATGTTACCATTGTTAAAACTACACAATTACCGAGAAGTTTGCTACCAATACACAGTTGTCAAGTTGGCAATTTTGTCGCAAGACTTGACAATTTCCTATGAGTTTTTTGTGCCTTTTTTTTAAATGAGCAATGACAAATCAAGTGACATTAAGTGAAAATATTCCCAGAGCTTCATGGCAGTAGTTACTTAAAAGAATGCTGGGTTTAGAATCACATATTGTCTTTAAATGATGAGAATATAATCAAGAGTTGGTCCTGGTCTGGATGCTGCAATGTTGGCAGATCTGCCATTGATTCCAACATTTTAAAGGCATAGTTCACTTGTTTGTGAAGTGATGCTCTGTTAAGAAGTGGCAGAAGTCTTTATCCCGTTTAATAAGAGGTCAAACGAGTGCCAGGTTTTAGGCTTTTAAAACAACTTTTTTTTTTCAAAAACAACACATCGGTGTTAAAAAGGGCCACATTCTATAATATTAAATCTTTACATTTAGTTTGTACTTTGTTTAGTTGGTCACTGTTTTCAAGAATCAGTATAATGCAGTATAAAGCAGGGCTATTCAAACGGCCAGACTTTGTTCACCTTCACCTGCCAATTGGTTCTTTAATCACTCAAAACCAGTTTCTCTATTTTAATTTTTTAGTAAAAGATAGACATATGTGGTGTCTACAGAAACATCACAATCTTGGCTATAAGCTTGTAAAACCATTTCTGTGAACACCCAAGACAGTTAAAACTACAAGCAGCTGAAAATAAAAATAAAAATCGGCAAGTCAGAACAGTCAAAATAATATTTGTATTAAATAGGAGACACAGTTTTTTTTGTTGTTGTTGTTTTAATAGTGCTTTAATTGCACTATTACATTGGGTTTTGTATGTTGTATTCATGATTAAATGCAGCAAAATAAACTAATTACCTAAGGTAACAGATCTTTGTAATATTTGATTTATTTACATAATGACTTTATTGATAGATGTTCGGCCCCTGAGCTGTTGGCCAGCAGTAACTGTGGCCCCCGGAGCAGTTTAGTTGGATAGTCTGGTATAGAGGTCTGATAATAATTTAAAAAAACTTTTCTATTACTCTGGCAAGTCATTTTTTAAAGAGCAGTTTGAATAAAAATGACACTTGTCCAAACACCCATTTGGCTAACCTAGTCAAAAACTTTTACCTCTTTCTTTGAGATATGACTGATGTTACAGTTGTTGAAGTACAAACTATTACTAACCTTTTGACAGAACACCACTTCAGAATTTATTTATTTTTATTTACCATTATTTAACCAGGCAGGTCCTGTTGAGATCTCAGATCTCTTTTTCAAGGGCAGCTTGGGCCTGAAGGCAACATATTGTGCATGTTTTTAGGGGTGGGGGGATACCGGAGTACCTAGAGAAAACCCACGCAAGCACGAGGAGAACGTGCAAACTCCACATAGAACGACCCCAGGTTCGAACCAGGGATCGAACCCAGGACCTTCTTGCTGTGAGGCGTCGGTGCTAACCACTGAGCCGTTGTGCCGCCGAATGACCACACTGCCCCTTTAAGATGAAATGCAGTTTTTCTCTTAACCAGTACGGACTGGAAAAAAATACTACCACTCATAACCGGAAGAGCACCAAAAGAAAAATCATACCAGAATGTATTTTTTATGCACTCATTTAAGGTTTCAATTCAACTTCTTAACAATGAAGTATTATTTAAAGTTTAGGTAACATTTGCAACAGGTGTACCGTCATCTTGGCTGTTCAGTCACATGGCTGTCCGTACAAATGAGTCTGCTTTTGAACTTTTCCCTGCTGCTTTCCCTGTTTAAAACACATGTAGCAAATAACCAGTGGTGGGCACCAGTCCGCTGAAGCGCAAATCTGCTAATTGCGGACCTAAATATTTTGTTTGCGCTTTAGCAGTCTTACTAACTTTTATAATTCATAAGCAGATTTGTGCTTTCTAAAATTAAAATGCAGTACCGCTAATAACTAATTATCTACCAGTCATCATTATCTTGAACAGCGGAAAGTATGGCTGTCAATGAATCACAACACAAATGATCTGTCCAACAGCACCCCTCCCAGATAAACCAGATGAACACATATTGTAGAAACGTATACTTCCTTGCTGACAGTTGCTCTCGGTCATGGTTCTCATTTCCCACAATGCTTTGTGTCTGCTTACATAGCAGGAAGGCAATGTTTAGTACTCCCTTTCCCAGCGAAAACAGTAAATGTTTGCAATTCATACTAAAATTTTGAATGTACTGATTTATTTTACATTACAATCGGAACTCCTTTTAAAAAAAAATTAAAAGCTGGAGCTCAATACGTGATGTAATTGGTCGAAGCAATCCGCCAACGAGTTAGACAGACATCTAGTGGTCAACTGGAGCAACTACATGGAAAACTTTCTTTTCCCGTCACAAATCAAATCCGTCATGTATACCCAGAATGCATCGCTTCAGTTTTCCAATAAAGTTTTAAAATTGCTTTACTGATGCTTCTTTAATGAAAAATCTACAACAAACAAAAGAAAAAGACAAAGAAGCAGGCAAACTAGCAATACTCAACAAGTTTTTAATTTTTACACCAGGAGCCAAAGTTCTGTTTCAGGAAATCACATCCCCAGCAATTGACGCTTGTAGGATTAAGCTGTACAAGGATTCATACACTGCTAAATGGCAGTGTTGTATATATATTGTACAACTGTTGCCAGCTAGTAAGTGTCAAATTGAACTTGTGCTTTAGAATTAGCTTCTGCTAATTTTTCTATGGCATAAGCATTTTTGAAGTCGTGGACCTAAATATTTTCGTAAGCGCTTTAGAAATTGCAGAGCTAATTTTTGGATTAGCGCTGCCCACCACTTCGTATATCATAAAGGTACAAAAATCAAGATATGCCTGTCCAGCTGAAATGACACAACAGTGATGTGAATTTTGACGTACAGTGCTGTTTGTTAGGTGAAGAATATAAACTGTAAACACTGCATAGAAAGAGAAGCTCAAAACAAGATAAATTTTGACGGGGGAATTTGGTCATATTAATTATCCTGTGAGAACAGAGCAGCAAAAACCAAACAGATGAAATTCAGTTGACAGAAAACTGTAAGAAACAGAGTATTGACATCATAGGGTAGATTTGCATCATTCAATAATGTTCAGCTGCTGTTTTTTTACACTCCTGCAGGACTGCTTTTCTACTAATAATTTCTGGGATCAATCACTTCATCAGACTTCCTGATTGACCAACACACTATTATGCACTTCTGGGATGTCATGGGTCAGATTAATATTTACTTTTACGAGAAAAAAACAATCAATATTGCTACACTCTAATTAAGCTAATCGACTTAGCTTAGCACAAAGACCAGAAGCCTGCTGGTTTTTACTCAAAGTTTGCATGTCTGCCTTCTGACATTTGTTTCATTTTTTATTGTCATTTATTTTTTTTTCCATAACAGTGGAATGAATAAAAATGGAACAATGGAACAAATAAAAAGGAAACCCACCTACAA